CCAGGAGTGGGATTTGGGGGGTCTCCAAACTGCACAGAATCTTAGTTAAAGGTTCTCGCGAACCCCTGCAAACCCCCAGCAGCCCACCCCTGGGTGTATGTCTACGTTTATTCCATAAAGTCTGGACATTTTTAACTGAAGTCCACAAGCCCAACATGTGATTTATGACACAAATCACTCTTTTAACATTATAGAAAAGGAAACTGACAGATGGTCCCGTGGAAGCTGAGGAGGATTATACTAAATTCAATACTGGTGATCTGAAAAACAAAAAGGTATGTATTTCTGTGTTTTCTTTCCTCATATTTTGTCTAATAGTAAGATGGTCATTTTTTTTAAAAAAAGGGGAGGGAAACAGGACAACTATTTAAGCAAGTGCGAGTTATAAGACATCAATAGAATTCTGCATTTCAGAATAGTGTAGACAGATTAACTGTCAAAGCAGCTAGATAAAATATTAGGAAGAGTGGGGAGAGAAAATTAAAACTACTACTTTTTAAAGAGCTGATTTAAAAATATATATTTAAAAGCATGGTTTCTGGAGGTTTAAATTACTTTTCCACAGGATTCACTTTTATCACACAAAACCATAATGTCGTTTGCTTGATTTTTGGCTCAGTGTGGTATCTGAGCACTGCTGGAGGGTAAATGTTGCCTTAAAGCGATGTGCACAGTACATTGCAACAGTGGCATTAATATATTCAGTGTTTTTCCTAATGGTGCCAGGTTTTAATTCTGCAAGCATCTTAAAAGGGTTATTTTTGGAAAGTGCAGCTCAGTACAATGTTTCCCACAGAGATCAGCGGGGCTTGGAATATTCTTGTGATACCGATTTAGTATAAAACCAGAATGCCACATAAAAGTACCAGTAGAGGACATGAAAAGTAGCTGGTTAGACGGCCCACTTAATCTGGTCTCCTACCAAGCCAATGAACTGAGAGTTGCAAAGAAGTGATTGATTCCTGATAAGCCAGATTTCCTATGCCTGTGGCTGCTTTGATATGCGTAATAGTTGGTGTTAGTAGCCTCTCATTCATGTTGTCTGCTTGACAACATGTCTGTGAAGTATCAGTGTAAATCTGTTTTTAAAAATTGTGTGGATTAGAATAGTATTTTGTTGGGAGGGCCGGAAATAGGTTCATTCTTAGGAATGCTAGAGAATTACAAGTTCAAATTTTAGCTATATGTGTAGCCAAAGATTTGGCTAGCTAAAATCAGTGGAGACAATAAAATCATCTTCTTGCTAGCTTGCTCAGGTCTCATAACTATCCAAGTCTGTCAGGGTTCCAAATAGCATCCAAAAGATGCAGCCAACTTTTCTATTGGATCTTTGGCATGCCAGTCTATCTATCCAAGTTTACTATTGCCTTGGAGAGGTATTTCCTCTGATAAGTATTTCAATTCAGTTTAGTCACCATAAGTGCTGACTAAACAAATTAATAAATCAAGATTGAAGTAGAAATTTTATTCTGGTGTTTACGTCAGGCTTAACAATGTTAAAGATTATATATCAATCTTTTCAGGAGGTCACGTGGTTTATAGGAAGAACATGCTTGTATTTGATTTTTTTTCCACAGTGTAATCTGAAAAAGGATGTTTTTACACGAATTTGCTTCTCAGATCGTTTACTGATTTTTAAAAAATCTTTAGTTAATTCTTTGGGATTGGCGTGATTTTTATAATGAACCTCTGAATAAAATGTGTGAGGGATTCTGGGCAATTACCATTTGAGTCCTGTATGTGAAAAGAATTGAATCCTAAACTTTGTGCTGATGTTTTCTTCTTACTTTCAGGCAAGCAGTAAAATGTCATCTGCACAAAAAGCTTTAGCAAAAGTTGACAAGAGCGGCATGAAAACAATGTCTTCTTTCTTCAGACCAAAAACTACCACACCAAAATGAAGGGAGGCAGTTGCTGTTTGGTTTAGTAATTATCTTGGTTTTTTTTTTTTATGAAACTCAAGCTCCTTATAGCTTTCTTTCTTCTTCAATTTTCCCCTATTAAGGCATAAGTAGAAACCTACGATGCTGATATGAATGTAATCAAAGTTATTTTTTTGTTTGTATTAGGAAAACTAGGCCCAGTCATTTGCTACAGATAGAAATCTGTCTTTATATCATGATTACTGAAAAGTCACAGTATAATGCAAAGCATGCATTCATCTCTGAATAAATTTGCACTTTTGTTTTTTAAATTGTTGATGTTTTTTGGCTGAGGGAAATCTTACGTGTGTCTTCTTTGTATTTTAAAAACTGATTGGGTATTATTGTTGTTGACTGTTTTTTTCCCCCACACTAGTGACCAGGGTGATCAGAGTCTTTGCTTACCATCTTAAATGATGAATGAATTTAGGTATTTTTTTCAAAACTTGAAGAATTATAAAGATAGTGTTTTAAGGAGAAGCTGAATCAATCTATCTATCTATCTATCTATCTATCTATCTATCTATCTATCTATC